CATGGTAACGCTCTTAATGAATAATAAGTAAATTTTGACGCAGATTAGATTGTAATTAGTCAATGGCGGCCAGACAGAAAATATAGATAGCATTGCTTTTGGCCTTTTCAGACAGTATATCTTAGCGTTTTGAATTCATTTGCTGAAATAGTACACTTATAATAGGCTAAAGGTGATTATTGTTATTTTTATCTCTCAAATGACTCATGACTGTATTCATACTTCATACTAGTTGACTCACGTGACGGGACTAGTAGATATTAGTTGACGCCCTGCAATCTCTTTTTGATTTGCGTTTGTAACTAAATCTATGACAATGAGATTGCTCGGTATTTTGGTACTTTCTTTGGCTTTGTTTTACTATGTGGATGCTCAAAGTGAGGGGAAATATAATATTAAATAAATATTGCAGATCTATTATAGATCTGTCTACTGCAGGTGTCAAATTTTAGTTTGTTTGTAAGATAAAATATTTGGAGGCATTTAGGGCTAATTTTTATGACCTGGGGGTACAGGTCGTATCTAAGATTATTGTATCATGATGACTGGTTTTTGCTTTATAATTTGTACGTTCATCTATACACGAAATTGAAATGCAACGCCCCGTTAATAAGACGCCTTAGCAACGCATTATCTAGCGCCGCGCGCGCCTTTGGGTGAAGTGGGTGTGTGCATGACAAAAGTGGCGAGATTTTAACGCCCTACCTATGAATAGTGTAATGTATAAAGTAAAGGTAAGAAGACGGCTATGCATGCAAGATGGTGAAAACATTTTAGAAATATTTTAGATTAGATTGCATACAATAGTCTTCTTTGCTTTGTGAGAAATTGACTCACCTCATCAGCTTATTCCTTTTATTCTCTCATTCAACAGGACGTGGAACTGTTAGGCTAGTGAGAAATGGACTTTTCTCATACGCCTATTCATCTGGAATAGTTCAAATCTATTACAGTACAAGCAGTTCCTTCCTACCCAGATGGGGTAATATTTGTGATGATGCTTCATTTGGTGATAATGAAGCTAGTGTCATTTGTAACCAGTTGGCATATGATGGAGCAGCAGCCTATGGTAGAACTGGTAGCACAACAAGGTAAAACTCTCACAAACTGCATTTGGTACAAAAGCATGTGGCTAAATTTAGTATGCTAATCAAAAAAATCAAGTTCAAGATGGAAAAGCTTAAGCCAAAGAGGGAAAATGCTTCTTCTGCCCTAGCCCTAAAAGAAACCCAGACAGTTATTGCATGCATAATGTAGTGATAATTTTTGTAGCAAACAATTAAACTACTATAATGTTTTTACATACTACTTAGTTTTGGAATTGACTACAATGCTACCATTCTTGATGATGTCAGTTGTTCTAGTAGTAGCTTACTAACTCTGCAGCAGTGTTCTGTTACTACAACTATTTCAAGCACTTGCTTCCTTAATTCAAATGATGTTTTTGTAGCTTGCTGTAAGTGAATAAATCCTATATTAATTGACTTTTTATATCTAGCACAAACATAACTGGTTAATATTGTAGCCTCTCTTTTGTAATTGTTATTTACTAGATACTACTAGAATCTGGAATAATCCTTATCCTGGACAGATTCGTCTAGTAGGAGGTCCTTATACAAGTTATGGTAGACTGGAAGTATATTGTAATGGACTGTGGGGTACAGTATGTGACGATACTTTTGATGCAACTGATGCTAAACTTGTTTGTCGTCAATTAGGATACAGTGATTTTACACTAGCTCATTCTGGAGCCATAACGTTAGCGTCAAATTTATTTTATTCGAGCTATTCTTAGAAATTAGCCTATTATTATGAACATATTTTATTATAGAGCTGGGTCTACCTCTCAACCAATTTGGCTGGATGCAGTTATTTGTAGCAGTTCATACAGTTGTCTAGCTACTTGTGAGTCTTGTCCCTCTATACAATATCATAACTGTAGACACAGTGAAGATGTTGCAGTTGCATGTGGTCAGCTCCTTTATCTTTATTTCAGTGATAAATTAAATAATTATTTTTAGAATTTGACTCCACTGAAACAGCTTCAAGTAACATACTAAGCACCTGCAGTACAGGTATGTAATAGAATAAACATAATTCTATTATATTTATCTCTAATAGCCTCCACTAGTGGCACTACTAACACCACCCCTGGCATTGTAGGACTAGTTCTTGGAGTAGTGGCAGTTGTTGGAACTATACTTGCTTAATTTACACTTTGGGCTGCTGTTAGATTATAATTTGCCTTAGCTACTGTGATGCTACATAATGTGATGTAGTGCATATGCTGCTTTAGAATACTCTGTGTGCTACATTTTCCCTGGTATTTTACCAATTTTATTTTTTATGATGCTATTGCTGATTATAAACTGAATGCTATAAACTTATTGCAAGAGCAAAACCTTTCAACAGTAGTTGCAGCAATTGTCTCAGTGCATCATATGCTGTAAGCTGTATTATTAGGATATCCTGCTTAGCCTGGCTATTTACTACAAGGCTATGAAGCTCAACCACCACTAACCTCTGTAGTGACTAACATTGCTTGTATGCTTTGATTAGAACTTAGTGCACCATAGTTCATTTGTTTGTTACATAGATCTAAAAATATTGACTTTACAAGTGCTTGCTTTCAGAGTTACTACTGGAAGTTGAATTGTGATTGTGCCACGTTTGCTTTACTTGTAAAGTTAATTGGCCTCGTAATTAATTGGCTTTTTCCAAGGTTTTTTCACATCCTGTTTTTCTTTCACAAATTCACATCCTGTGTATAGTGCATTGAGTGTCAGACTAGTATACTCAACCAGTTCATGAATAAAATATGCTTCTTTTTCTTACTTTCTTTGTTCAAATTGTTCTAAATAAGGGTAAAAATATTGTGGTCCAAGCCACTAAACTAATCAGTGTTATATATACTTTATTATCATATTAAGGCACTCCTCAGTTCACTAATTGTCCTAGTTCAGTGCCATGTATCTCTCAGCCAATTAGCTATGAGTGTACTGTAGATACAACTGATGGGGCTGATGCTTTAAATTGGAGAGTATTGGATACTAACAATGATCCAATTACTGGTGCTGTTACATATAATAAAGATCAATCATTACCGGCAATGTTACCAATTAGTAGTGACTTTACTGCTAACTTGACTGATAGATCTGGTCCTATTGTCTCTGATATTTCATTTACTCCAACATTAGGTATCAGTAATTATACTTTGGAATGTTGTGCAAGTGGTACACTTTTATTATCTTATCCTCCTCTACTTTGATAACCGATATCATATTAGTTACAGTGAACTTCAAGATTTAACTATTATTTTGCCTAATGATACTTCACAAACTCTATCTGGTTTTACAGTAGGATCAGTATATACTGTTTGAGTGGCTGCTGTTAATCCATTAGGAACTGGTCCTATTGTATCAGCTACAATAAGTTAGCTTTAGTTATTAATTATACTGTACATTAAATTTATACTTAGCTATACTTGCTATGTCAACAGCTGAAGTGCCTATTTCAACTAGTATTATGATATCTTCAACTATATTTACTTTTACTATCTCAACTATATTTACCTCAACTACCTCCTCAACTATATTTATCTCAGTTACCTCAACTACATGTGTATTGGTAACATCAGCTAGATCCACATGTACGTCAGCTAGATCTAGTATGATAACTGCTTTGATTTTTGCTTCAGACATTATAACTATACAAAGCACCTCACAAAGTATTACATTTACTGGAGGTATATAACACATTCCTATGCTTAATTGTTTCACAGTTCTAGCCTCCAGCTTTTTAATAATTTTAGTATTTAATATTTTTAAATGTTTTAGTAACCTCAGTGTGTACTTGTTGTAATTAGTTGTTCCTCATCTTCATGTTGTGTATCAGTGTTACTGTACAAATGAAAGTAACACACTTATCTAAAATGTATAAATCTATACATTTCTTAGTGTAATGTGTGTTAACAGTACATTATAATGCATATTAACAATATGTATGCTGCATATTTGCATATAGTCTTGTTTACTCATGAGTGTATGTTTATAAAGTAAGATACTTGCTGTCAACATAACTATGTATATCATTGCCAAGACTTGATTTGTGCATTTGATGTCTTACATTTTGGGAGGTTCTTCTTTTTTTGCTTTTTTACTCTCAGCCACACAATAGCAGCAATAAATGACAGAGAGAGAAGAAAGTAGCCCACCGAGGTATCCAAGAACCAGCAAACCGACATTGAAAGGATTGACAACTGTCTCTATCAATTAATGGTTCATTATAACATTATGTATGTCATATTGAATAATGTCATAAATATACAAAAAGCTTGAGTGATTTCAATAAAAATTGGTTGCTCCAAAATCGGCCAAGAACCACAGGCTATATAGCCTTGGGTCCTTGGCCAAATTTTATCAGAAACAGCTAAGAGAGAATTTTTTGCTTTTACAATTTTATCTGATACATATACATGTCCTCTTGTGTTATTTATCAAGTTTGAGCTGATTCAAATCAAAATTGGACTTTTCATGAATATTTAAAGTTGCTCAAAAATTGGGTCAAAGTCCCTGTACTATAGTACAGGGTCATCAGCCAAATTTTACCAAAAATGACTAGGAAAAAATTCTCCATTTTTATAATTTTTTTGATGCGTATACATGTTCTTATGTTGTATTTCAAGTTTGAGCTGATTCCAATCACAATTGAATTTTTTATGAATTTTT